GGAATATCCTAACAAAAAATGATAAAATCATTAAAATTGTATTCGCTCTTTGTCTCAATCAAAGTGACTATATATAACCATGCTGGTGAAATTGCTGAAGAAAAAAAGTAAATGTAAAAACGATGTTATTTTATGAAGGTGCAAGTAAGAAACATCAGAGACATGTGCTGGACGATAAAAACGGTTCAGGTAATAACGGTTAATTCAAATCGTCGTCCACAATTATTAGCTTCCTGTCTGAACTGCAGGCCCTGATGTCTGTAGATATATATAGTTCTGAGTCACTACACGATATTAGGGCAGACCAACACTAGATTAAAGTACGTGTCCAGTATGGCTCATTAGACTGCAGTCTCCATCACTTGATAGTAACTACCATGTTATTTCCAGACCTGTCGATCCGTTTATATTCAGATGCAATCTACACAGACCTAAACCTAAGCTTCATATATGAGTGTGTTCTCTGCTAGCGACGAATAAACAAATCGGTTGCTCTAAGAATATTTTACATATGTAGCTTAATGCCTGATTCGCAGATCAACATACCAACTTTGTGGCCTGCATGGGCCAATGTAATTTATCTGTATCTAGCTTCGACGAAATATCCATGGTCAAATGTGTCCGAAATCCTGGGCTAATTCATGCCACCTTGACGGGCACCTGCTGGCATTCCATCCTACACGCTGACCAAGCACGTTTAAATCACCCTCTGTTATGCGATTGGTTGATTCTTCCGGAAATTACATTCTGATTGGTGCTTCTATTGTCAGTGTAAACTTCCGTCAATATCGTCAAAATGGCGTGGAAGATGCTAATAGAGGTGGACAAATGTAATGAAAGGATGGCAGTACAGATGGTTTGTCTTAGACGGGAATTCGGCATACTGTCATCTTACTACACCGTACGTTGACAACAAAGCACCGTTATTGACAGTGATTTGGTTATGGCGAAAGTTAATTACTGTAATTGTCTCGTGAGAGCAAGAGGTGTCAACTTTGACATGCATGTCCTGAAAAGCATTGGTGCATTTGCCACGCCTCCCTGACAGTGTCATTAATATGCTACTGATTGTGATTACGTAATTCTATGACAACAGCACTGGCAACATCTTTTGGGTCGTCCACAATGGGTATTTATGATTAAACGTATTAAGGTTAAAAATGATTATGAATGAATATCAACGAAGAATCACCAAGTGCTCCGAATTTGAAGAGATTTCGATTTTAAACCATATATGGTAAACAGCACTTCAAGTTTAACCTTTTATTATAATATGTACAAGCATACAAGCATACACACATATATAAATGTTATTGTTGTTTTTCAAATAATTTCTTATTTTAGTTTGTGAGTTGTATAATTACAAAAATGCTCCATATTTATTCATAAGAGAGGTTATTCAATTGATGCATGCACCCATATTTAGGTTGATATCAACGTTTGGTAAGAGTTGTCAAATTTAGCATATATGTCCGTGTCTAGAAGATAAAAGCCAGTCTGATTTCTATATTAGACAGCAATATACCTGAAAATCTGTACTTTTTTATTTTCAGTCCAAAGAAAATGATGGGATGCGTAATGAGTGATGTGTTAGGATTAAAAGTAGGTACATTCAATGTGGAATACCCATTATGCTAGTGTTAATATTTCTTATCAGAGATTAATTGAAGGTTCATTTTTTAGAAATAATCATTTGCTAACCATGCTAACTGAGAAACAAATCCTTGTTTTATCCTACTGACTATGAACATGGTGAGTAAACATTTGTAAGAAGGCATATATATTATGTAAACTTAAGATCTATATATGTTACACACTCCTCTTGGAACCTAATTTGGCTCAAGTACGTATATTGACAGAATATTATTTTGATTATGCTACAATGTATTATGATGTATTTTTCCAGGGAGCTATAATTGGAATAGATGATGAAGATGACAGTACATTTACAATAACAGTGGACCAGAAAACCTTCCATTTTCAAGGTATGAAAAAAGATGTGTTATTAGATTGAATCTTAATTTACATCTTGCCTTAACATACGTGTTTAAATGAAGTCTGGTATGCTTAAATGTATTAAAAATCTAAATGATGTGAGGACTATGAAATAGGATTGATTTTCCCTTTTACCATAATTATTATGAAGGATATGATCGTTTTAGAAAATAATTTGAGAATGTAATATTTATAGTAGTACATGATGTTATGGATGTTGTAGCCATTGATGCTGATGAGAGAAGAACAGTGGATAGCCAGTCTGAGAACACTGTGTACCCGACATTCTCAAGCTGGCAAGGTATGACACCAGATCATACACCTTTTCTGTTCTTGTTGCCTTTACTGATACCTTAGTTTTGCTCAGAGCTGGGAGAAGTAATGACATAACAAAACAAAGGTGCGAATCAGTTTACCATATCTAATCATCATCTATGATGAAGTCAGGTCAGTTCTGTGTGAGAGCTGTCAGGCTGCCTAACAACTTATGATTTGACTTGTTACACTAAGCAGCCAGTTCTATTCCCTACATGATACAATGTGTGGAGCTAATTTGAGGCATTCACTTCACTGGTATGGCAGGAATAGTTTAACAACAGTGTTAAGCTTTCCTCAAACAAGCTACCAACTTGACGTTTTACAAGTTCAGAATAAAGACTAACATTAGAATAATCGTTAAGATTTAGGTTCAATATGCTTGTGTGACTGAATGCCATACACGATGTTAAGACAATAATGTCAATCCAGACAAGAAAAGAGTTGAATAGCCATGTTGAAAAGACATTCATGCTCTTGAAAATACTTAGCAAAATGTTTATACACTAGATTTATCACAGACCCTTCAAACTGTCCTCTCCAAACAGTGCTCCAGACAAAGAGCAGGACAGTCAAGATAGGCTGGACTAACCTGTTTACATTAGTGATCACCTTACTCTTGTATCTGAGTGCTGATTAGAACATTGTGTAGGAGAATATTGGCCAGTCTTACAAGATTGCCAGAATTAGTTATCGCTGGTGCTATGATGTTACATTCTTAATAAAAAATGCAGAGTTAAGTGTTTAGTTTGCTTCTGAACATAAATGAAATATTATACATTATAAATATATAGATAGATACATATATAATAAATATATGTGTATGTGTATATGTATATGAAAATACGTATGTTGCTAATACATTTACAACAATAATTATAAATTTTGATGCACACTTTACCTTTGAATGTTTATTAAGGATGGAGAATATAACTTCAAAAGAATAAAAATCATCAAATATGTTTATTGTTCTTCTGTCTCTTCATCTGAGCTCAATAAGATCATTATTTCTCCATGTTTGGTATTCAAATTATCTAAAAGATTACCCAATTTAGCTTCACAGACACATTATTTTCATGGAGTTTAAAACTCACGTTGTAACGTATATCAATGTATTAGCAAATGATTACCCTAATTAGTCAGATATCAGTTGCACACATGACACTAATTGCCAGACCCATGTTGAGACTTCAATGGCATCAGACCGTGACATTAGTCCTTAAATATTGAAGTATATTTGTAAATATTTGGCATGATCAGACATCATGTTTGTCTTAGAATTAAACAGAAATTACCAGAGCAATGCTTACGTGGATGTTCCATTCAACTAATGAATGAAAAAATATGAATAGGCGAATTAACTTGAGTTTAGCATCCTCATTATGAAGATTTTGAAACTGGTTTCCGCAAATGTTCCGACGACAAAGCAAAAATGATCTATTATTTATTAATATTTCTTTAGGTCATGCATTGGTGTCAGTGTGATGATTTTAAAGTTATGTATTGTATTGTGAGATTTGTTTATTTGAGCAGAAGCTGGAAGTTCGCCATGCCCCGAGTCTTGAGGACTTTGACCACAAGCTGATGGAGACAGATACCTACCTCCAGATGCTTATAGACCAAGTCCAGGTGAGTGGACAATAGTAATTTGTTGTTTAAGTCTGCACTCAGCAATATAACAGCACTCTGAATACGATCAAGTCTGGTTTTCTCTAGGTATAATATGTGTCTTATTTGTCGTAAGCGTATTTCAGGTATGCAACATACAGTTGTAATGATGTTCAGAAAGGTGCTTTTAGCCTTGACACTGATTTCCTGAGTAGAAGGTCCACCTGATTTGGTCATGTTGGAGAGTTAGTTAGATCTTGAGAGAGGTATTGAACAAGGGGAAGGTCACATTTCATTTTACCTTATCATAAGACAAACATGTGAGCACCGCCATGTGGACATTAATGACTTAGTGAGGTCATGGCAAACTGATCATATTGTTCACTTCTAAATTTATACCTATCACATGACTCAAGCTTTGATCATGTTGATTTAGACAATTTGGTAAACAATGTGATATATTTATCTGAATATTGTAATTTCATCATCTAATATGTGGTACTAATTGCAGACATTGCCCCAGAATATCAATTCTATGTAAAATTGATTACTTTGCTGTAATAACTTTCAGAGAGTATTTTGACCATATTTTCTGAGAAGGTATACCATGTGAGGAGTGATTGTTTTGGGTTTTACACTGGTCGGACGGCATGGGGAACTGAACTGTGATCTATGGTCTGACAAGCCAGTGCTGAGTGGATGACAGGAGTTACCTCCCTTTGATTATCTGCATCTCTGTGTTGTTTATATTGATAACGGATTGGGGTATTTTTAGTGTGTCATTCAGTTTACTGTGAGTGTCTTTGTCACATGGTTTTGTGTGATGATTCTACTGCAGTGTAACAGATACATAACTGTACTTCATCAAGATTTTGTTAACCATGCTCCCTTCCTATAAAACAGCCATCTATGCTTGTCACCAAAGACAATAACAATCACTTGGCGTCCCCATACCCATGGTGTGGCTTTGTGCTCATTATTTCAATGAATGCTTGCTCTGTCCTGGGTGGATTATTCATACTCATATACCTGGAATATTGTCGAGAGCACCAACAAGCAACCAGTAGAAACCCCCGAAAAAACGTATATATGCCCATATTTGTTACCCATGCCTGGTATCTCAATCAGCCAGTGACAGTAACAAGCAAGTTGAGGTGTTTTAACAGCATAACTGTGAATTATCAATTTTTTATCCCCTGCAATGCGTTTTGCAGGGGGTATTAAAATGGACTCCGTCCGTGCGTGCGTCCGTCCGCCCGTCCCTGCACATTTGTCTTTTCCAGAGCAGAACTCTAAAACTGTTCACTATTTCTTCACCAAACTAACTTGGCACATAGATAGATCTGGTGGTGTACTGGTGCCTTTTGGTAGCTTTGGAATTCTGAATAAAATATTTTTGGCTTTTCCGTGGCAGCAAGTTCGACTTAGCCTGAAATTGGTGATAGTGCTCTTTTCCAGAGCTGAAGTCTAAAACTGTTCACTATTTCTTCACCAAACTTGGCATATAGATTGGTCTGGTGGTGTACTGGTTCCTTTTTGGTAGTTTTGGAATTCTGAATAAAATATTTTTGGCTTTTCCGTGTCAACAAGTTTGACTTAGCCTGAAATTGGTGGTAGTGCTCTTTTCCGGAGCTGAACTCTAAAACCGTTCACTATTTCTTCACCAAACTTGGCACATAGATTGCTCTGGTGGTGTACTGGTTCCTTTTCGGTAATTTTGGAATTCTGAATAAAATATTTGTGGCATTTCCATGGCAACAAGTTTGACTAAAACAGAAATTAGTGGTAGTGCACTTTTCCGGAGCATAACTCTAAAACCGTTCAATGTTTCTTCACCAAACTTGGCACATACATAGATCTGGTGGTGTACTGGTGCCTTTTTGGTAGTTTTGGGTTTCTGAATAAAATATTTTTGGCATTTCCATGGCAACAAGTTTGACATAGCCTGAAATTGGTGATAGTGCTCCTTTCTGGAGCAGAACTTTAAAAACCTTTCAATACTCTCCTTCCACTTTTCTATGTACACAACTAAATATTTGACATAATCATAACTCGTAGACATAATCATGAAGAGTATTTTGCCATTGCGGGGGATATTGATAACTTTGTCTTCTTGTTTACATTACACTCGTACCGGTACATTGCCAAAATTTATCTTTGTTCATCATTGTTGCATATTACAGGCATAAAGTCAAAGGGTGCTTGGAATAACCCTATTGTTGTATGTAAGGGATTCATGGGGTGACGAATTCCAACACTATAGAGGAAAACTTCCACACTGCTACCCGTGTTGGGAATCAGTTGGGATGACTGTTATACATGGTGATAATGAGTTTGTCTCCTCCTATCAATTATTGATACTCATTGTTATGTTAACTGTTTATCTTCTTTAAACTATGATTACAGGCAAAAAAGCATAGATCAGCTTAAATTTGAACAAGTGTACCCCTTGGAATATGTGTGTTGATGAAAATTACTTTTGATCCACCCCTCATAAAAGTACTTTCGCAATGAACTAGATAAAATACAATTCACATTCCATTGTATCGAAACTGTCTGTATTCTGCCGCATATTCTAGCCATGCCATAACGGACTAGGAACATATTCTAGCCATGCCATAGCACACTAGGAACATATTCTAGCCATTCCATTAAACACTAGGAACATATTCTAGCCATGCTACGACACACTAGGAACATCATAACCATACCATTACACACTAAGAACATATTCTAGCCATACCATGACACACTAGGAACATATTCTAGCCATGCCATGACACACTAGGAACACATTCTAGCAATGCTGCGACACATAAGGAACATATTCTACCCATGCTACGACACACTAGGAACATATTCTAGCCATGCCATGACACACTAGGAACATATTCTACCCATGCCATGACACACTAGGAACATATTCTACCCATGCCATGACACACTAGGAACATATTCTACCCATACCATAACACACTAGGAACATATTCTATCTATGCTACGACACACTAGGAACATATTCTAGCCATACCATGACACGCTAGGAACATATTCTAGCTATGCCATGACACACTAGGAACATATTCTACCCATGCCATAACACACTAGGAACATATTCTAGCCATGCCATTACACACTAGGAACATATTCTACCCATGCCATAACACACTAGGAACATATTATACCCATGCCATGACACACTAGGAACATATTCTACCCATACCATAACACACTAGGAACATATTCTACCCATGCCATGACACACTAGGAACATATTCTACCCATGCCATAACACACTAGGAACATATTCTACCCATACCATAACACACTAGGAACATATTCTAGCTATTCTACGACACACTAGGTACATATTCTAGCTATACCATGACACGCTAGGAACATATTCTAGCTATGCCATAACACACTAGGAACATATTCTACCCATGCCATAACACACTAGGAACATATTCTAGCTATGCTACGACATACTAGGAACATCATAACCATACCATTACACACTAGGAACATATTTTAGCCATGCCATGACACATTAGGAACAAATTCTACCCATACCATTACTCGCTAGGAACATATTCTACCCATGCCATGACACACTAGGAACATATTCTACCCATGCCATGACACACTAGGAATGTATTCTACCCATGCCATAACACACTAGGAACATATTCTACCCATGCCATGACACACTAGGAACATATTCTACCCATGCCATGACACACTAGGAACATATTCTACCCATACCATAACACACTAGGAACATGTTCTAGCTATGCTACAACACACTAGGAACATATTCTACCCATACCATGACACGCTAGGAACATATTCTAGCCATGCCATGACACACTAGGAACATATTCTACCCATGCCATGACACACTAGGAACATATTCTACCCATGCCATGACACACTAGGAACATATTCTACCCATGCCATGACACACTAGGAACATATTCTACCCATGCCATAACACACTAGGAACATATTCTACCCATGCCATAACACACTAGGAACATATTCTACCCATGCCATGACACACTAGGAACATATTCTACCCATGCCATAACACACTAGGAACATCATAACCATACCATTACACACTAGGAACATATTCTAGCCATGCAATGACACACTAGGAACATATTCTACCCATGCCATAACACACTAGGAACATATTCTACCCATGCCATAACACACTAGGAACATATTCTAGCCATTCCATTAAACACTAGGAACATATTCTACCCATGCCATAACACACTAGGAACATATTCTACCCATGCCATAACACACTAGGAACATATTCTAGCCATTCCATTAAACACTAGGAACATATTCTAGCCATGCCATAACACACTAGGAACATATTCTTGCCATGCTACAACACTAGGAACATATTCTGGCCATACCATAACACACTAGGAATATATTCTAGCCATGTCATAACACACTAGGAACATATTTTAGCCATGCCATGACACACTAGGAACATATTCTAGCCATGCCATGCCACACTAGGAACATTATAGCCATTCCTTTAAACACTAGGAGCATTCTAGCCATGCCATTAGACACTGGGCACATATTCTAGCTGTACGAATGTAAGATGAAAGTCATGTCATCAGCCTTGAATGTACCACTTTTTAAGAGCTTTGGCCCCTTTCTTGCAGTCAGAGGACCAATGGCCCAGTTTGTAGAACTTACCATGCTAACCTGACCAAAGATTTTATTATATTGTTTGATATAATCAAAGAATGATGAAAAGGTTTCAACTTTGTTTCATGAGTTGTTTATCTTGAGACACATTTTGCAACACAAAATGGCTGGAGATGGTGTTCATATTGTGCGTGAAAGGTTCAGACTTAGGATAGCATGAAGATTTGTCATTCTTTAATGGCCCTTTAATCATTTGCACTAAGTAAATATTCTGTGTCTGTTGTGTGTACATGCATGTAAATCACAATATCATTGAGACTTTATGTATATCCCTGTTCCTTAATGCTAGTACTCTGATGTAATGGGTAGTCTCCAGTTAAAGGAGCATCAAGTGGCCTTGTGGTTAAAGGTTTGTTTACTATGATGCAGGTTCAGTTCTCTGTAGGAGCAAGGTTCATGAAGCTTTGGTATCCCTTGATAATTTTGGAACATTTCCGGAACTACAGTTGGTGTTTGGCTCTATGAGCTCACTCAAGTTAAATCCTGTATTTCTTTCGTGACTTTGGGCTAGTATTTATCATCATCAACCTATTCTTGTCGTGAAAGATGACTTAATAGGTCAGGTGATGACAGCATTTCTCATAATATCATCATAATATCAATCACTGTATTGTCTAGTTCCCGAACTGATTATTGACATACCATTATACAGATGGATTATTGCAGAGTGAGCATAAAACAACAAACCTATGACCTCACTCAAGCCAGTGCTGTGTTGAGAACAAATGCAACAGTAGCCCCCATAGACCAATTATCACTTCATTGATTGCAGATACAATAGACACAAATGCAGACTGTGAAATATGCATGACCCATAACAAGGACACAGCCCACACCTGCCCTGTAAACTACTGATGTCAGTACATACAGCTTCCTGCTAGGCTACTGTAGGAAATATGTATAGTGTTTAATGATAACGTATTGATCCTGTCAGAAGCCACAATACAGGTGCAATGCATACCAGGAAATTGGGAACAGTGATAAAGTAGGTGAGTTTGTGAAGACTTGCCAATGAGAATTGTTATATGCTGGTTACGTGGAATTTATTCATTGCATAGCAGAAATATGAAAAATAACATGGCTCATTGTATCTGTGTCTAGATAATAGAAATAGGTGAGGTTGATTAATGGTGTACATATATATGTGGGTTAATGTGAAGTGTGATGTTGTGTGAGTTTGAAGGTGGGTCCTTATTTTCCTGGGTCTTGTTTGGATGCACACCTGCTGGACAGTGTTTGAAACAAACTGAGGTTAGACACACACAAGTGATAGTGTCAGCTATGTAGAAGGAAGACTTTGGTGATGTTGTGCTGAAGATGGATTGTGTCATGTTTTACAGGCCTTGGAAACACGTATTGAAGACTGTCCTGATGAAGCAGAGAGGGAGAAATACAGTGTCATAAAAGTAACTGCTGATGTAAGTGACATTATGTTCAAGATGTTCATATGGTCAAGGTTGATGTAAACTTAGCAACTCTGGATAGGAATTATAACTGAATATGGTTGGGATTGAGTGTCTCACCTGGTGAAGGGACTGTTGTTGAGGGTGAGATGTGTGAATGTTTGCTTGTGTGAGATAAGGAAAGGGGGTGGTACAGATGGTGTCTGTTTTGAAGGGTGAGATGGGACCTGGTCTTGTTAGGAAGGTGAGATAAGATCTGGGTTTAAGGGGTGAGGTGAGGTCCGTTAAGCTGTGTGATTCTGTTTATTTGGAGTTTGAAGGCCTCTGGTCACACTAGGAAGGGTGAGATGGGGACAACTACTGAAGGGTGAGATGGGGCCTGCTGGGAAGGGTGGGATGGGGCCTGCTAAGGAGGGGTGAGATGGGGCCTGCTAAGGAGGGGTGAGATGGAGTCAACTGATGGGGGTGAGATGGGGTCCGCTGGGAAGGGTGGGATGGGGGCCTGCTAAGAGGGGGTGAGATGGGGCCTGCTTAGGAGGGGTGAGATGGGGTCCTGCATAAGGGTGAGATGGGCCTGCTAAGGAGTGGTGAGATGGGGTCTGCTAGGAAGGGTGAGATGGGGTCAACTGAGAAGGGGTGAGATGGGGTCCGCTAAGGGTGAGATGGGGCCTGCTAAGGAGGGGTGAGATGGAGTCAACTGAGGAGCGGTGAGATGGGATCTGCTAGGAAGGGTGAGATGGATCAACTAATGAAGAGTGAGATGGGGCCTGCTAAGGAGGGTTGAGATGGGGTCAACTGAGGAGTGGTGAGATGGGGTCTGCTAGGAGGGGTGAGATGGGGTCAACTAAGGAGGGGTGAGATGGGGCCTGCTAATGCGAGGTTTGGGTCTGTTAGATGTATTGAGGTGGTGGTCTGTTTTAGAGGGGTGAGGTTGAGTCTTACCATGGGTGAGGTGGGCTCAGTTCAGCAGGGCTGAGAAGGGAGTCTGTGTTGGGGTGGGTGGGGGGGTGTCAGTGGTAAGGTTAGTGAGTTGGGGTCTGTATAGGGGTGGGTGTGTGTAGTAAGGTTATTGAGATGGGGTCTGTTATGTATGGGGACCAGTCAGGTGTGAGAAAGGATAAGTGTAAGTCGTATTTCCTGCAGTACTGAAGCAGCACATTCTTTTAGGTAGCCACACTGACTGATGTTTCTACTGATACCAGAAGTATCAGGATGTTGTTTGTTGTTGCTACTTATGTCAGGAAGGAAGCCATAATCCTGAGATTGTGTGACGGACGTATATCCTGTATTCTGTACATGCAGCTTCCTAGTCACTGTGTAGCCATTTCTTTCATGCAGTGCTCAGTTACACTCAACTCATTTACAGCAGGTACACTCAACTCATTTACAGCAGGTACACTCAACTCATTTACAGCAGGTACACTCAACTCATTACAGCAGGTACACTCAACTCATTACAGCAGCTTTGAGTACAGAGCCAGCATAAGTCAGGGGGAAAGGATCTGTACAGACAATCTGAAGCCACTATTCTGGGTAATTACACTCATGGTTTGTACTGTGTTGAATCTTGGTCTGATTCCCAAACCTCAGCATGTATCATTGTTATGACGCATATGGTGCAGCACAGAAGAGGCGAGTAAGGTTAGTTGATCACTGGATTGTCTGGTCCAGACTTGATTATTTACAGACCTGTGCAATATAGCTGGGATATTGCTGAGTGCAGCGTAAAAGAACAAACAAACAAACAAGAACACGTGCTGATTGGAAGAGTCCTGAAACAGCACAGATGAAGAATTATTCTCCATAAAGTCCCATCAGTTAGACTTGCAAACTTATATCGAATACACCAAAACTATCAGTACCCGCTGTGAAAGATAATGTGTGAGTAATTACTCATTGGTTAAAACATTGAGCCCTGTTGGTGTTGTGCTGGCTGTTGTTGTATTGTTGTTTATGTGTTGTTTTATGTTGTTTCCAGGGACTGGTCGAGGCAATCAAACACACCATTGTGATGCTACAGATCACCAAGGTAGGACAACAGGCACGATCGTTATACTGCAGTTTCGATCCTTTGATAGCCCCACATGAGAAATACTGTTTCAACAAGTTGTTTAAAGATATAGGAATATATGGAATAGTCAATGCTGAATCAAGGCCTGATGATGCACTGTGTATGTCATGATATGTAGGCCACCTGGAACAGTACATACAATGCACAAGACTTCAGTGATTTGACTAACTTGTCCAGTTCTATATTATAAAGACTGCATGTTCAGTTAATTGAGTCTTAGATCATGAATTATGTACACAACAAATGGTGTTTATTACTGACTGTTTAGTTTGATTCCAATGTGTGCTTATCATTTATTTGATATTAGCTCATTATTCATTCATGTATTCATGAGTCCATGCCTCTCGGTTGGCTCAGGTTACATCAGTCAACATAATCATTATGGTGCACTGTTATGGTTACTATTGGCAAAGTTGGTTGATAGTGGGGCCACTTTTTAGGCATAAGGTGTAAGGGGGCACCCTCACTGATTCAAACTGAATCAGAATTATAGTTGATGATTGTCTTGTCTGAAACTGATGGTTGATGTGTCTACACCTGATGGTTGCCTTGTCTACAGCTGATGGTTGCCTTGTCTACAGCTGATGGTGGCCTTGTGTACACCCAATGGTGGCCTTATCTTCACCTGATGGTTGCCTCATCTACACCCGATGGTGGCCTTGTCTACTCCTGATGGTTGCCTCATCTACACCTGATGGTCTTGTCTATACCTGATGGTGGCCTTGTCTACACCTGATGGTCTTGTCTATACCTGATGGTGGCCTTGTCTACACCTGATGGTTGCCTCATCTACACCTGATGGTGGCCTTGTCTACACCTGATGGTTGCCTCATCTACACCTGATGGTCTTGTCTACACCTGATGGTGGCCTTGTCTACACCTGATGGTTGCCTCATCTACACCTGATGGTGGCCTTGTCTACACCTGATGGTTGCCTAATATACTCCTGGTGGTGGCCTTGTCTACACCTGATGGTGGCCTTGTCTACTCCTGATGGTGGCCTTGTCTACACCTGATGGTTGCCTCATCTACACCTGATGATGGTCTTGTCTACACCTGATGGTCTTGTCTACACCTGATGGTCTTGTCTACACCTGATGGTGGCCTTGTCTACACCTGATGGTTGCCTCATCTACACCTGATGGTGGCCTTGTCTACTCCTGATTGTGGCCGTGTCTACACCTGATGGTGGCCTTATCTACTCCTGATGGTTGCCTCGTCTACATCTGATGGTGGCCTTGTCTACACCCGATGGTTGCCTTATCTACACCTGATGGTGGCCTTGTCTACACCTTATGGTTGCCTTGTCTACACCTTATGGTTGCCTTGTCTACACCTGATGGTTGCCTCATCTACACCTGATGGTGGCCTTGTCTACACCTGATGGTGGCCTTGTCTACACCTGATGGTGGCCTTGTCTACACCTTATGGTTGCTTTGTCTTCACCTATTTGTTGTCATGTCTTTCCTCATTTAGGCATGTTTCTGTGTTTCCAGGAGAGCCTAAAGGAACCAATCTTGAATGGCTCCCCCCATGACCAGCTGCTACTTACCAACGATGCCAACTTCAGCCACTTCAGCGACATCAAACGTCAAGGTAGGTGCCCTCACATCAACAAAATAGTTCCATGTTACACTGTTAGAACCTCCTTCATTCCCAGTAACTGTACCCTTGGGGGATGTATGAAGCAGAATATGTGCCTAAGTCACTATGTGTCATACTTGATAACTTCAGTGTGGATCTGAAGGTGGGACTATCACATTTTCATTCAAATAATCATCCACAGGTTTTCCCTGACATAAATGTTTTGGTTTTTTTGTGTGGAACCCCACACTCAGCCTTCTTCCTGCTATATCGCGGTGATCTGTAAATAATCAAATCTGGACCAGACAGTCCAGCAATTAATTTCATAAGCATCAATCTACCCAATATTTATAGTATACAATCACATGCATCAACCAAAGCCATAAGCCTGACCACCGAACCTGTTAGTCGTCTCTAATGAAAAGCATTGGTTGCTGAATACCAGTTCTGGCCCTGATCTTCACAGGCTTACTACATTGTTAACTGTGATATAGCTGTAATGTTGGTGACTGCAGCATGATAAAACATGGCAACACATGTTGTATTTGGGATTACACTTTCTCTCAAAAACATCTTTACTCATACATAATTGCCTCTTACCACCTTACTGAAATGTGAGCCTGACCTATTTGTGAGATTGTTGTTACTGGATAATGTGGATGATAGGCTGATGTTTTGTGTTAATTCCCCTGCCCTCATGCACCAGCATCATGTAGTGTTATTCATGCTGTCATCCACCAGGATTGTTGAGACCAGACTGTTCATGAGCCGCCATGATGGCGGTATTTACACATTCTTAACAGTAATGATGTTGGTTAATGTGTTGGGTTTTGATTAACCAGGTGTTTTCACTAACAGGGTTTCATTGTATACAGGTGGTCAATACATCAATCTCCCTGCCTTGCTTCAGACATGTCCTCCTTCCCTTCATGGTTTTCATGGCTTATGCATACATACAAGATTATACATACAGAACAAATTAAATCATTTATTAGTTTTAATGATTTTCAACTATTTGTGTTAAATTAATAAAGTGATATACAGTCAAATTCCGATGAGTCGAATGCCGGTGTCTCGAATATTATGCATAACTCGAAGTACCTGTCGGTCCCGACCATTCCCTGTTATAGTTGTCATCATTTGAATACCGGTTACACGAATTCGTCTCATAAATACACATGATGACTCGAGAAGAAAATTTGGTCCCATGAGATTCAAACAACAGCAATCTTGTATACATAAGCCGAAGTCAGTCAATGAGAAGTTGATTGGTGTAGCAAACTGATCCAATTAACAAACCAGCTCGGCTTACACCTTTCCGCCTTTGACGGTGAGTTCAAAAGGCAGATTAGTGATTTTACAGAAATCACTGTCTGTGCTAATCAGACTGGAACTGATAAGGTGCCCTATTAGCGATAGGGAAATCATTAGATAAACATATGCTTAGGTGGAGGAATTTGGACTGGATCATCTTTTTCTCTACCCTCATAGACATACATATGTCTCGAATACATCGATAAGTCGAATTTATTACTTGGTCCCCAGAGATTCGACTCATCGGGATTTGACTGTACTTACTAATATAGTTAGCTTTCCTGTTCTTTTGTATCAGATAAACTTAAATGAAGAATGTTCTTTCTGATATTGTAATAGTTTATGTCATATTTTTTATCTAACTACTTGCACATGTTTAACTAATATTTTTTTTTTCATTTCTTCCTCCTGTCCTAACTCCACTCGTCATCTGTCCACTGTTCTGGTCCTCCCTCCAGTTCCTGCTTCCCTGTCCACCGACAACATTGAGCAGGCCGTGGATGTCGCTAATGACGCACCAGTCTCATCCAGTACCTCGCTACCTAACATAGCAATACCCTCCGGTATGGGAAAAGTGTAGGGTGGTGTCACTATTGTAACAGTAGAGCCATACAGTAGGCTAGGGGTTACTATACACAAAGAACTTAATTAAGCACCCCTGTATTTTTGCAGTGATCGTTTTTCAACACGTATATAAAACTTCTCATGGTGACCACGATGGCAAAACATGAGTTTTTCCGACCCCTATGATCTTTTGAATCATATTATTATCATGCAAAATTATTGGAATCCATGTTGATTTTATGATGATAATTGCTCATTTTAAAAAAAACACTGATTTTCTATAAAACTTTGTCTGTGCAAGTCTGTTGAATGTTGAATTTATTGGTGAATGTGAACATTCAAAATGTCATTTTGTGTCTCTTACACAATTCATGGTCAATACCGAGTGTAACCTCCATGTGACAGGATGACAGCCAGCACTCTCCTCATCATACCCCATATCTGCCCCCTGATCCTCTGAAGGGGCAGTTTACACCATTCATCGTGTAAAGCAGCTTCCAAATGGGCCAGGTTCTGTACAGGAGGATCCCTTTGTTGCACACGACAATCAATCATGTCCCAGCTATGCACCAAAGGGTTAAGATTGGAGCTTGTTCAATCGTGAGATATGTCAGGGGGTGTTTAACTAAGTTCTTTGTGTATATGTAGTTGTGCTATATCATTCCAAAATAAGGACACATGATTTACTACCTGTTTACAGTTGGGGTTTGTAGACTATGGTTAGTATCGAGGTTGGGGGTGTTGGCGACTTCTTGTTGTCTTATCTGAACATTGGTGAACGGGGGAATTGGTTAACAGTGAACAGGGGAATTGGTTAACAGTGAACAGGGGAATTGGTGAACAGGGGAATTGGTGAACGGGGGAATTGGTGAACAGTAGCGTTATACTGAGGAAATACTTGCCCCAGTTTGTGAAGTCTAGAGTACTCCATCCAGAATTTACTAGATGATGCTTATGTCTTTAACAGAACAGAAACATGCAATGCCTATGAATAGTTTAGCTTAATAGCAGTGTATGTGTTCTGAGCATATATGTTGATCAAACTAGGAAAAAATAGTAGTTAAGCGACAATATTTCACCAAATGAGTTAGTTATTGTTTTATTACCTATTTTGGTTTCTTGTTTTTGCTGTTAAATTAAACTTAAATCATTTAAGTGTGATGAAGCAATAGTGCAAACATTGATGAAACTGGAAGGTTTTTATATTTAGCAGATACTGGTTTATTCTATACCTTTTCTCTTCTGCATCTTCTCTGTAAGAAATATGTCATGTATAAAAAAAGAAAATGGACAGTTCTGTAAATGTCCGGTTTCAAAGACAACACTCACACACTGGTCCAGAAGATGGTCATGGGTTTCTTATTGGGGCAAGAAATAGTAATGTAATTGTGCAAATAGAGCACTATCACCTATAATAAACTTGGTGTCTACAAACTTTTTGTGCTTCGGGATAGGGGTCAGATGCATCCTGCATATCCTTTTGTCTCCGTCTGTCATCGTCTGCTCTATATTCGGGTCTGAGCAATGGCCTTCTTTCACTGACCTGCTTGTGTGTTCAGGGTCGACCCTGGGGCCACCAATAGTGACAGACAGCACACTGAATGGGGGGACTGGCATCCCCGATGTCTCCTACTCCAGCAGCGAGGATGAAGAGTTCTACGATGCTGAGGAGCAGAAGTCGTCACAGAAGACCACCCCCGAGTAAGTCTTTGTGGATATGAAGCTTGCTTAAGCTTGTGGCTTGAGCTGCACATTGGGGGGGGACGTCAGTCAAGATGTGTGTAGTTAAAATGTCTTAGTTATCAGTAGCATAAATAAGCAACGGCAAATAGTTTGTTTCTTCTGGGAGAAATTCAAAATGTTGACACATGGAACATATTTTCTCACCGAAAACTGAAATATATGTTATGATTCTTTATCTTAGTTTTGACCAAATATGGCCTGCATCCCTTAACTTCAGATCAAAGCTCTCATGACATTCATTCCTAGAGTAATGCATGCTTGGTAACGTGCTTGTTGTGTTCCAGACGTGAACTCTCCACACATATGGTGGAAGGTGACGAGAACGGCGAGACACAAGTCTCACCACCAGTTATAGCTTCCAAAGATGATTACTATGATGGTAAGCATTCTATGTTGTTGTCCATATGGCTCACATTAATAAAAAGTAAATAAAGCATATGCATATATGAAGAAAATAAGAATTCATGTATCTCAGAGAATTTTTAACTAAACACAAAGATGTCCATTGTTTTGATGTGTAAAGACATGAGTTGGAAAGTGAATGTCGGTTCAACACCACTTTGAACAGTACCTCAGTTTAAATCTTAGAAGATTCAGCTTGAAGTTTAAATGCCTCTGTAGTAGCATGTCTGCCGGAAGAGGGCAAGGTTGTCAGTTCCATCTCCAGCTGTGTCATGCTATAAGAATTTTATAGATGGTTCTTTTGTTCCATGGGAGGAACTCAGCACTTGCCGACTGAGTACACAGTGTCTGTGTGGTGTATTCAGGTTTCAGTGTGAGTCACGGACTTCAGTCGGCAAGTGCTGAGTTCCTCACACGGAAACCTGAATACACCACACAGACACCGTGTACTTAGTCGGCAAATGCTGAGTTCCTCACACAGAAACCTGAATACACCACACAGACGCCTGTACTCAGTCAGCAAGTGCTGAGTTCCTCACATGGTTTATGTTTTAATTCATTTCTTCTTTTCTTTCAGAACTCTATGATGATTTAGATAAAGAGGACCGTGAGTATTTCATAGACTAATGGTTAACAGACTTAAGAGCTGGTTGTTTTCAGGAATCTGATCCTCATTTGTTTTTGTTCCTTGCAGTTATGCAATCATTGCCTCTAATATACCATTGATAGTTTTCTGTAGTATTTGACTTACTGCTTGGACTTTGTTTATAACCATGAAACAAACTGAAAGTACAAGTCCTTTCTAGACAACCGTACTAGAAGATTTATAATATTTATGTTTTTATTTCTATTTTTATTATTTCTAGTTATTGTTACAATTGTTATGACATGGTTCCCAAATTAAAGGTTTACCCAGAAATGGTTTTACAGAACTTTAGTATGACATCAGTAGATGACCACACACGATCAATGACAAGGCAGTAAATACATGATGAGTTAGCTGGCCATAGTATTAACATAAGTGCAATCACATGTGTGCAGAATCCACTGTCGTATGTGTTGAAACAAGCCTATCTCACTCTTGGATCCTGAATAGTGAGAGAGCTGGAATGACTTCAGTGTTTTCTGATAGCGGCCCAGTCTGTACCTGACAAGTGGATAAGGTGCAAGTCACTTTGAATCACACTGAATCTTTCTCTGATATACTGTAGATGTACAGCTAACCTAAACTTGTCGTACAATCAAATCTGCCATGTTTGTGAACAACAAGTAGGAAAGGTAGCTCAACAATTCCCCTATGCTTCAATCAATTTGTTTCAACTCACAGTCACTACACAGAATGACTGACTAACTGAGTTTGTTTTACCCCGCCTTTAGCAATATTCCAGCAACATCACGACGGGGGACACCAGAAATGGGCTTCACACATTGTACCCATGTGGGGATTCGAACCCGGGTCTTCGGCATGGCGAACCAACGCTTTAACCACAAGGCTACCCCAAACCCCCCACTACACAGATATATTTACGACTTTACGTGATCCTAGACATAGCCGACAGATGTGAATGTAAGTGGATGATATCATCTCTCCTCCCTCAGTGGGGTCGCTGGAGCAGCACGGCAGCATCATCGCCCACCTCCTGTCCCAGGTCCGCATCGGGATGGATCTAACCAAGGTCGTCCTACCCACCTTTATTCTTGAACGAAGGTCTTTGTTGGAAATGTATGCTGACTTCTTTGCTCATCCGGATCTATTTGTCAAGTAAGTCAGAGTCAGCAAATGGAGCACAGCCGTATTAATGCACAACTTTCATAACAGTACATTTAGTGTTGACAGTGTCAGGTTCTAGTTAGTGAGAGTATAATAGTATTAAGTCACAGATACATAAGTTGACTCATACTGACTGTAGAACTGAGTGTAGTGTGAAGCAGACCTGTCAACAAAACTTCTTCTAAAGTTGTTAACTTTAGATTTTTAGATGAATATTTTGGAAATTTCCAATGACATCCTTGATGTACAGCTTTATATAACAACTCATGCGAGATCCATGGCTGCTAGAATATCCATAGCACACCATTAGATGGTTCATGATTCTCAGAAAACAAGAATCTGATAAAGACACCATTAAAAAATGCGATCATAGTGCTATGACAGTTGTAGGTCTGTGTTCATAATCTGGACTTATGGTCATGAACCGCAGTGTATTTCATAATTGTAAACTGACATGATGGATACCTCTGAAGGAATATCAGAGTGAGTAAACCTGTGACCTTGTTGTGCAGAGTTGTTGACCTTGAGACTCCGCGTGAGCGCATGGTGCAGGTTGTTCGGTGGTACTTGTCCGCCTTCCACGCCGGAAGGAACAGCGACATAGCCAAGAAACCATACAACCCGATACTCGGGGAGACATTCAAATGCTTCTGGAACCTTCCTGATGAAAAATCTACGGTGAGTTAGAACGTGACAACGTACCAGGTATTTTGAAGGGAGGGACATCTATGTAGCTGGCAGAGAGAGGTTACTGAATTGTCAGTCATACTCCAGAACTGAAGATCTCCTCTAGCATTTATAGATTTCCTTCCATTATGATTATCATTAGAGTTGGTGATAGGCTAGACCAGTTGGTTAAATGTTTGCCGATTATATTTCAAGTGTAGGTTTTGTTCCTTCAGGTGGTTTAATTGATGGTTTTAGCACAAAAGTGATGGTATGGTAGATTTTATTCCTAATCTTTAAGGGCGGTGGGGTAGCTTAGTGGTTAAAGCATTTTCTCATCGCGCCGAAGGCCCGGGTTCGATTCCCCACATGTGTGCAATGTGTGAAGACCATTTCTGATGTCCCCCGCCGTGATATTGCTGGAATATTGCTTAAAGCCGGCATAAACCTGAACTCACTCACTCACTCTGTCACTTAATCTATAAATGACATTCGACTGAGTTCTCAGGGGTTATTATGAATAACTATATAATAACTATTTTGTTGAAATTTAATGATTTAGATTGTACCCAGCTTTAGATACTATAGTTCAAAACATCACTGTTCCAAGGATTCACAGTATTTCCAACACTGCAGAGAATTGTGGACAGGACTTGCAGTCACTTTCCTGTACAACAAGATATTGCTGGAATATTGTTAAAAATGGTTTAAAGCCTTACTCATTCACTCACTCTATCAGAACATTTTGAGAGCTTAGACTTACTAAAAATATGATATGTGACTTTTCTTAGTGCATGTGATGAAATTGTTCCGATTCGTTTGAGCAGGAAGCAGTTGAAGATGGTCCTGTTCCCTGGGCAACCAAAGACAGCATAGCATTCATAGCAGAACAAGTGTCTCACCACCCACCCAGTGAGTACTTGAGAGGCATTTTAGAAGTTGGGAAATGCAATAATGACAAGCTTTTTATTGATAAAAACTTAATATTTTTAGTCTTACATTTCAGTGATATTCAGATTATTACTCATGGGTACAATGAGTGAAGCCCATTTCTGGTGTCCCCTGCCATGATATTGCTGGAATATTGCTAAAAGCGGCGTAAAACCAAACTCAGTCAGTCAGTCAGTCAGTCAGATAATTACTCAGGGGCAGGTAACTTGTGTTGGCACATTGATCATGTCATACACACTCCGGCACAGCGATGACATAACATCACTGCCACAGGCTAATTTGCATATCAGGTGACCAGACTTTTCTCTTGTTTGTAATCAAACGCGCATATTCATAATAAGAAAAGACTGGACTTACGAAAGCTCTTCGGCGCTCTCTTCATAGTGTTTTACATTATTACATATATATTCTTCCACAACTGCGACAGTTAGGTCTATGACAGTACATATTTAGATGTCAAACTGGCTGCATCGTCACTTATTCCATTGTTAAAATGGCTGTGTTGGAATGTCGGTAGAATGTAAGGCCATGTTTAGTGTGGTTATTATCAGTACATTGTCGTCCTTGATGTGATCATGACATGCTCAATATTGTCAGAGGAAATCTGATCTTGTAACAAACTTTCATTGACATTCTCAACCTAGTCAACTCATTTTGAGCAAGTATATCATGAAACATTCAAACAGTATTGCACAGTTTACTAGTTATTTAGTGAAGGGTGACATGAAACAGATAGGATAACTAGCAGTGTGATGTTCTTTACTGTGGGAGCATTTACACTTGTGGAGGCACTAAAATGGCTTTGTCCTTACTGTGATCTATGCTAGCACAAAGTTTTGGGACAGAATAGATAATTATGCATCAACCCAAGTTTGTGTGGTCATGATCTGTAGTTCTAGTCCTAACCTAGCCGATGTGTTTTTATCATTTTCCGATAAAGTTGATCAAACCTGATGCTATGAAGCACTGGTTTGCCTGACCCACATGTCTCTGTGATTCAGCTGGAATAGGTCAGAGTTAACAGGCCATAATTACCACTGCCCAAAAGTTCCACTATTAGTTATCTGGGGTAATAATGTGCTGTGCCTTGATTGTTAGCGCTATGAGAATACCTAGTGTGGAGTTTGGCGCTATATAAATGGACACATTATTATTATTATTATTATTAAAGTTTCTGATGAAGATGTTACTTATTTCAGTTTCGGCATTCTATGCTGAACACCACAGTAAGCGCATCTCCCTGGACGGGTACATCTGGACCAAGTCCAAGTTCCTGGGTCTGTCCATCGGTGTCCATATGATTGGTCAGGCCGTGGTGTCTGTTCTGGATTATGACGAGGAATACACACTCACCTTCCCCAATGGTTACGGCAGGTACGACCACTCTAGCTAACAAGCTTAATATGGTTGACATGAAATAGGTTGGACTATTTGAAACCAAAGGACGTTCCAGTGATTACATGTGTCTTGACTTATTGCCTTGTATAACAATGTCCCAAATGTTGATGATTGATCTCTTGGTTATGAACACTGAGGAACACATAGGTCCATAAATATATATACACATTGGAACACCAGCAGAACACCAGGTAGATAATGAAGATACCTGAAGTTGATGAAGGTACACAAAAATACAGGCAGATTAAGGTACACAGATACACACAGGTAGATGAAGGTACATGAAGATACACACAGGTAGATGAAGGTACATGAAGATACACACAGGTAGATTAAGGTACCTGCAGATACACACAGGTAGATGAAGGTACATGAAGATACACACAGGTAGATGAAGGTACATGAAGATACACACAGGTAGATGAAGGTACCTGCAGATACACACAGGTAGATGAAGGTACATGAAGATACACACAGGTAGATGAAGATACACACAGGTAGATGAAGATACACACAGGTAGATGAAGGTAACAGAAGATACACACAGGTAGATGAAGGTACATGAAGTTACACACAGGTAGATGAAGGTACATGAAGATACACACAGGTAGATGAAGGTACACATGAAGATACACACAGGTAAATGAAGGTACATGAAGATACACACAGGTAGATGAAGGTACCTGCAGATACACACAGGTAGATTAATGTCCATGAAGATACACACAGGTAGATGAAGATACACACAGGTAGATGAAGGTACATGAAGATACACACAGGTAGATGAAGGTACATGAAGATACACACAGGTAGATGAAGGTACCTGCAGATACACACAGGTAGATTAATGTCCATGAAGATACACACAGGTAGATGAAGATACACACAGGTAGATGAAGATACACACAGGTAGATGAAGGTAACAGAAGATACACACAGGTAGATGAAGGTACCTGCAGATACACACAGGTAGATGAAGATACACACAGGTAGATGAAGGTACCTGCAGATACACACAGGTAGATTAATGTCCATGAAGATACACACAGGTAGATGAAGATACACACAGGTAGATGAAGATACACACAGGTAGATGAAGATACACACAGGTAGATGAAGGTAACAGAAGATACACACAATGCTTCAGGTCGATCCTGACAGTGCCATGGGTGGAGCTGGGAGGGAAAGTACAGATTGCATGTGCCAAAACAGGATACAGCGCCACTGTGGAGTTCCATACAAAAGTAAGTGTTTGTTTTGCGTGTTATGTCAACTATTTTGTGAGTGAAATATGATTGACATGTAGCAGATAGTGCTGGTCCCTCAGTGTTGAAATGTTAAAAAATGTGTCACTATTTCTTGCAGCCATTCTATGGAGGGAAGAAACACCGAATAACAAGTAAGGTGTTCGAACCCAACGAGAAGCTCCCTTTCCTCACCGTGGAGGGAGAATGGAATGGAGTGATGTATGGCAAATATACCTCAGGGGTAAAGATGAATATCATATTTATTTTTGTAAACAATCGAGCCCATCACTTCTTGATAGGGATATGCCAGCTTTGCCATGATTTTGTGAATAATTGTGTCTGGTACTCCACCAGTCAAGTCCCCCAGTCATCAGTCATCATAGATTGTAAATGAATCAACCTTTAGTTTTTAGGTTTTTCAGCAAGCAATAGGTTGCCATGGTATTGCTGAAATATTGCTAACTCATCATAGAACGACATTGATTGTTTCTTGCTCTAAAAAATGAAAGTCAAGTTGTTTTGTATTTTACAATGGGTAATTAGTTGGATATCTTTTTCAGCAAAATGAAACATTTGTAGACACAAAGACATTACCTAAGTTCAAGAAAATGGTGAGACCGACTGACCAGCAAGAGGAGTATGAGTCTCGCAGGTCAGTGCCCTACACTCACATTATACTCACCTTTATCTTACTCACCTGCATTATACTCACCTTCATTATACTCACCTTTATCACCCTCATGCATATAATACTCACCTTTATCTTACTCACCTTCATTATACTCACCTTTATCACCCTCTCCTTCATTATACTCACCTTTATCACCCTCTCCTTCATTATACTCACCTTTATCACCCTCATGCATATAATACTCACCTTTATCACCCTCACCTTCATTATACTCACCTTTATCACCCTCATGCATATAATACTCACCTTTATCACCCTCTCCTTCATTATACTCACCTTTATCACCCTCATGCATATAATACTCACCTTTATCACCCTCACCTTCATTATACTCACCTTTATCACCCTCATGCATATAATACTCACCTTTATCACCCTCACCTTCATTATACTCACCTTTATCTTACTCACCTTCATTATACTCACCTTTATCTTACCTTTATCTTACTCACCTTCATCTTACTCCCCTTCATCATACTCACCTTTATCACAATCACCTTCATTATGCTTGCCTTCATCATACTTGCCTGTATCATACTCAACATCATTATGCTCACCTTCATCATGCTCGCATTCATCCCATTGCCCACTGGTCACATGTCTTTTATAGATATTACGTTCTTTTATGTAAACATCAGTACATCACTGGTTTATGAAATAATGTACTGTATGATGACATAGTTTGGGAATAATGTGAAGAAGTTGATGGTTAATCCATGATGTGTTGGTTGGTTGTGGAGAAACGTGATGTATAATCTATAATGTGTTACCAGTTTGTTGCAAGACATGACATATCATCTGTGAAATGTTCTTGGTTATGGCGAGATGTGACGTATATGTGAAATGTTATAGGTTATGGCGAGATGTGATGTATGTGTGAAATGTTTTAGGTTATGGCGAGATGTGACGTATATGTGAAATGTTTTAGGTTATGGCAAGATGTGACATATATGTGAAATGTTTTAGGTTATGGCGAGATGTGATGTATGTGTGAAATGTTTTAGGTTATGGCGAGATGTGACATATATGTGAAATGTTTTAGGTTATGGCAAGATGTGACGTGTATGTGAAATGTTTTAGGTTATGGCAAGATGTGACGTATATGTGAAATGTTTTAGGTTATGGCGAGATGTGACATATATGTGAAATGTTTTAGGTTATGGCAAGATGTGACATATATGTGAAATGTTTTAGGTTATGGCGAGATGTGACATATATGTGAAATGTTTTAGGTTATGGCAAGATGTGACGTGTATGTGAAATGTTTTAGGTTATGGCGAGATGTGACGTGTATGTGAAATGTTTTAGGTTATGGCGAGATGTGACATATATGTGAAATGTTTTAGGTTATGGCAAGATGTGACGTGTATGTGAAATGTTTTAGGTTATGGCGAGAGATGTGGCGATGTATGTGAAATGTTTTAGGTTATGGCGAGATGTGGCGTATATATGTGAAATGTTTTAGGTTATGGCGAGATGTGACGTGTATGTGAAATGTTTTAGGTAATGGCGAGATGTGATGTATGTGTGAAATGTTTTAGGTTATGGCGAGATGTGACATATATGTGAAATGTTTTAGGTTATGGCGAGATGTGACATGTATGTGAAATGTTTTAGGTTATGGCGAGATGTGACGTGTATGTGAAATGTTTTAGGTTATGGCGAGATGAGATGTACGTATATGTGAAATGTTTTAGGTTATGGCGAGATGTGACATATATGTGAAATGTTTTAGGTTATGGCGAGATCATGACATATATGTGAAATGTTTTAGGTTATGGCTGAGATGTGACGATATATGTGAAATGTTTTTTAAGGTTATGGCTGAGATGTGACGATATGTGAAATGTTTTAGGTTATGGCGAGATGTGACGTGTATGTGAAATGTTTTAGGTTATGGCGAGATGTGACATATATGTGAAATGTTTTAGGTTATGGCGAGATGTGACGTGTATGTGAAATGTTTTAGGTTATGGCGAGATGTGACGTATATGTGAAATGTTTTAGGTTATGGCGAGATGTGACATATATGTGAAATGTTTTAGGTTATGGCGAGATGCGACATATATGTGAAATGTTTTAGGTTATGGCGAGATGTGACGTATATGTGAAATGTTTTTAGGTTATGGCGAGATGTGACGTATATGTGAAATGTTTTAGGTTATGGCGAGATGTGACGTGTATGTGAAATGTTTTAGGTTATGGCGAGATGTGACATATATGTGAAATGTTTTAGGTTATGGCGAGATGTGACGTATATGTGAAATGTTTTAGGTAATGGCGAGATGTGATGTATGTGTGAAATGTTTAGGTTATGGCGAGATGTGACGTGTATGTGAAATGTTTTAGGTAATGGCGAGATGTAACATGTATGTGAAATGTTTTAGGTTGTGGCGAGATGTGACATATGTGAAATGTTTTAGGTTATGGCGAGATGTGACATGTATGTGAAATGTTATAGGTTATGGCGAGATGTGACGTATATGTGAAATGTTTTAGGTTATGGCGAGATGTGACATGTATGTGAAATGTTATAGGTTATGGCAAGATGTGACGTATATGTGAAATGTTTTTAGGTTATGGCGAGATGTGACGTATATGTGAAATGTTTTTAGGTTATGGCGAGATGTGACCTGTATGTGAAATGTTTTAGGTTATGGCGAGATGTGACGTATATGTGAAATGTTTTAGGTTATGGCGAGATGTGACATGTATGTGAAATGTTATAGGTTATGGCCAGATGTGACGCATATGTGAAATGTTTTAGGTTATGGCCAGATGTGACATGTATGTGAAATGTTTTAGGTTATGGCGAGATGTGACGTATATGTGAAATATTTTAGGTTATGGCGAGATGTGACATATATGTGAAATGTTTAGGTTATGGCGAGATGTGACATACAACCTCAAGCACAAGAATGTGGAGAAGGCGACGGAGGGAAAGCAGTTCCTGGAACAGCGGCAGCGTGACGAGGCCAAAGACCGGAAGGAGAAGGGGGAGAGATGGGAAACCAAGGTAAACCCTGACCCTTGGCCTCCTCCTTACACACCAGCAGGGTAGTGAAGGGCTTGAAGTGTTCAGTTGCCCACGTGGGTATACATGAAGTCCTTGCTATTGTTCTCATTGGTTACATTGCTGGAATAGTGCTGGAAGTAGTGGCAAAAGCTGAAGCTACTTAATTAGTTAAGATTACTTGTATACAATGGTCAGTGTGTTAATTATCTAATGTAGGTAGAGAGAAAACCCCTTAATATTTTGACTTTAGCATTTCAAACTTGATTGTGTTTCAGTGCTTCCATGAGGTCGGTGAGCACTGGGTGTACGACCGGCCATTGCTGAAGAGAGATAATCCATCACCGTCAGTGTGATGACGACCTTGGTAATGAAGGCCACTGTATCAACAATGTTCCTGGGGTCTGAGGCTAAGGCAGCCACACAGACACAGACAGACAGACAGACAGACACACAGACAGACACACACACACACACACACACACACACACAGAGGAATGATTAATTGATATAAACAATGTGATATCCATTGTCATTTTGATGACACTTATTGTCGGAATACACAAGTGCTTTTTTTTTTAGTTTTGCATCCTGCCTGTATGATCTTATTGATGGTGGTTGTGTATACAGGGCATCTCGGTCAAAATAAGTTTGGAGAAACAAATGAAAGTTTATGTAGAAAATGATCAGGTTAGTAAAGCATAATCATGATATTATCATCAGGGAAGAATGAGAAAAGTACAATGTGAATAGTGGACTTGACTGATTTATGTTGTGACTTGGAGAAGATGTTTATATGGCTTGTTGGTGCTTGCTAGACTGAAGTTGAGAGTCTTGAGACTGCTAATGTCAACATGGTCAGTCTAGAGGATACTCTTTACTTCTACTTACTTACCTCTCTGTACTTCCAGTGCCATCTATCATTTTGTCCCTTGTGCTCTTGTCAGGAAGTTTTGGATGATGGTGTAGGCATGATTTGATAACACACTATTGTGGCAGATCAAATTTTCAGGCCTCTCAGATGTTTACTCAGCGATCAGTCATATGAATGTAGGCTATGTGCAGTCTGAGATTTAAAACTACAAGACAGAAAACTCAGCAAGATTCATCAGCCCTGTCAACTTATTTAACGACACCCATCGCATGTATCAGAGACCTGTTTGTTTTGCTGGTTTGCTTAACTGATCTCCTGACAGCGCTACACCTGTAGTTGGCCTACTGGGCTTATCTACTCACTTGCCTACAGTTTTACTAGTTGGCCTACTGGGTTTATCTACTCACTTGCCTACAGCTATACTAGTTGGCCTACTGGGTTTATCTACTCACTTGCCTACAGCTATACTAGTTGGCCTACTGGGTTTATCTACTCACTTGCCTACAGCTATACTAGTTGGCCTACTGGGTTTATCTACTCACTTGCTGACAGCTATACTAGTTGGCCTACTGGGTTTATCTACTCACGTGCTGACAGCTATACTAGTTGGCCTACTGGGTTTATCTACTCACTTGCTGACATCTATACTAGTTGTCCTACTGGGTTTATCTACTCACTTGCCTACAGCTATACTAGTTGGCCTACTGGGTTTATCTACTCACTTGCTGACAGCTATACTAGTTGGCCTACTGGGTTTATCTACTCACTTGCTGACAGCTATACTAGTTGGCCTACTGGGTTTATCTACTCACTTGCTGACAGCTATACTAGTTGGCCTACTGGGTTTATCTACTCACTTGCTGACAGCTTTACTAGTTGGCCTACTGGGTTTATCTACTCACTTGCTGACAGCTATACTAGTTGGCCTACTGGGTTTATCTACTCACTTGCCTACAGCTATACTAGTTGGCCTACTGGGTTTATCTACTCACTTGCTGACAGCTATACTAGTTGGCCTACTGGGTTTATCTACTCACTTGCCTACAGCTATACTAGTTGGCCTACTGGGTTTATCTACTCACTTGCTGACAGCTATACTAGTTGGCCTACTGGGTTTATCTACTCACTTGCTGACAGCTATACTAGTTGGCCTACTGGGTTTATCTACTCACTTGCTGACAGCTATACTAGTTGGCCTACTGGGTTTATCTACTCACTTGCCTACAGCTTTACTAGTTGGCCTACTGGGTTTATCTACTCACTTGCTGACAGCTATACTAGTTGGCCTACTGGGTTTATCTACTCACTTGCCTACAGCTATACTAGTTGGCCTACTGGGTTTATCTACTCACTTGCTGACAGCTATACTAGTTGGCCTACTGGGTTTATCTACTCACTTGCTGACAGCTATACTAGTTGGCCTACTGGGTTTATCTACTCACTTGCTGACAGCTATACTAGTTGGCCTACTGGGTTTATCTACTCACTTGCCTACAGCTATACTAGTTGGCCTACTGGGTTTATCTACTCACTTGCTGACAGCTATACTAGTTGGCCTACTGGGTTTATCTACTCGCTTGCCTACAGCTATACTAGTTGGCCTACTGGGTTTATCTACTCACTTGCCTACAGCTATACTAGTTGGCCTACTGGGTTTATCTACTCACTTGCTGACAGCTATACTAGTTGGCCTACTGGGTTTATCTACTCACTTGCCTACAGCTATACTAGTTGGCCTACTGGGTTTATCTACTCACTTGCCTACAGCTATACTAGTTGGCCTACTGGGTTTATCTACTCACTTGCTGACAGCTATACTAGTTGGCCTACTGGGTTTATCTACTCACTTGCCTACAGCTATACTAATTGGCCTACTGGGTTTATCTACTCACTTGCCTACAGCTATACTAGTTGGCCTACTGGGTTTATCTACTCACTTGCCTACAGTTTTACTAGTTGGCCTACTGTGTTTATCTACTCACTTGCCTACAGCTATACTAGTTGGTCTACTGGGTTTATCTACTCACTTGCCTACAGCTATACTAGTTGGCCTACTGGGTTTATCTACTCACTTGCCTACAGCTATACTAGTTGGCCTACTGGGTTTATCTACTCACTTGCTGACAGCTATACTAGTTGGCCTACTGGGTTTATCTACTCACTTGCCTACAGCTTTACTAGTTGGCCTACTGGGTTTATCTACTCACTTGCCTACAGCTTTACTAGTTGGCCTACTGGGTTTATCTACTCACTTGCCTACAGCTATACTAGTTGGCCTACTGGGTTTATCTACTCACTTGCCTACAGCTTTACTAGTTGGCCTACTGAGTTTATCTACTGACATGCCCACAGCTTTACTAGTTGGCCTACTGAGTTTATCTCTTAACATGCCTACAGCTATAATAGTTGGCTTACTGAGTTTATCTCCACACAGATATATCTATTTGGCCCACAGAGTTACCTAAAGCTGTTTAGTTCCTGTAGTCCCCTGCACTGACCCTGACTATACAAGTGTTGTCTTACTGATACAGGCTTTCTGCAGATTTCTTTGTGTGATGTGTCAAACTGTATCTGGAGCAAACTGACTCATGCTGGCCATATCTGTGAATCAAACGTAGGAATATACAGAAATCAATCACTTCTCAGGACAGAGACAGCACACAATATTTACAATGTGTACATAAAATAATTTACATTTTGCCCCAATGGAATCAAAGCAACTTGAAGCAGAATTTTTATAAGCATTAGAACTAAAATAACAGTTTTCCATCTGCGCTGTCCATCTTCACCTTATGTTAGGTTATATTAAAGATTTCTATTCGTCATAAGCCAGGTATTGTAGTCAGAATTTATCTCGTCATAGAACAGGTGTGGATGTCTTACCTGATGTATAGTTAACGATCGTGACACCATGTTCAATACACAGATTTCAACAATATTGTATTTGCTATATTTCGCTGTATACTGCATCGTACAGATCTACAAATTTCCTTTTATGTAACTGTCCTACCCACACCTGTAGTTATACTTGTCAAGGTTGTGTTGTGTAAGACAGTAGATGGACCACTAGCATTTAGGCAGGTGTCGGTGTAGATCAGAGAGGACCACCCAGTCAGTACCTGTGTCGGTGTAGATCAGAGTGGACCACCCAGTCAGGACCTGTGTAGATCAAAGTGGACCACCCAGTCAGTACCTGTGTCGGTGTAGATCAGAGTGGACCACCCAGTCAGTACCTGTGTCAGTGTAGATCAGAGTGGACCACCCAGTCAGGACCTGTGTCGGCGTAGATCAGAGTGGACCATCCAGTCAGGACCTGTGTAGATCAGAGTGGACCACTCAGTCAGTATATGTGTCGGTGTAGATCAGAGCGGACCACTCCGTCAGTACCTGTGTAGATCAGAGTGGACCACCCAGTCAGTACCTGTGTCGGTGTAGATTGGAGTGGACCACCCAGTCAGTACCTGTGTCAGTGTAGATCAGAGTGGACCACCCAGTCAGTACCTGTCTAGGTGTAGATCGGAGTGGACCACTCAGTCAGTACCTGTGTCGGTGTAGATCGTGGTGGAAAAGTGGTTCAGGGTGTGTACTAATTTATGTATTATTATCATATATGAGTGTAAAATATAAATATTTCACATAAAACCAAAATGTCATTTTTGTCACAAGTTATCATTAAGACAACATGTTTGTAGAAACTATTGTAGTGTGACATATGTTGACACCATGTGGTGTGATGGATGTTTGACACCATGTGGTGTGACGGATGTTTGACATCATGTGGTGTGACGGATGTTTGACACCATGTGGTGTGATGGATGTTTGACATGTGGTGTGATGGATGTTTGACACCATGTGGTGTGATGGATGTTTGACACCATGTGGTGTGATGGATGTTTGACACCATGTGGTGTGATGGATATTTGACACCATGTGCTGTGATGCATGTTTGACACCATGAGGTGTGATGTGTGTTTGACATTGTTTCCTGTGATGTATGTATGAGACTATGTGATAAGCTGTGATGTTGTTTGACATCATGTTCTATGGTGTATATTTGACATCATGACGTGTGATTCGTATAGGACTTAGTTGACATCTAACAGCATGTTTCTGGGTGATCTGTAAAACTAACATCAGACACTCCCACTACGCCATCTGCCCATCTTACTGATAGACATTCAGCAAGTAGAAATATGTTTCATTAAATAGTGTGCGTTATTATTTCCCATTTGCAGGCAAAACTTCATAGTGACAGAAGGACCAAGTTCTTGAATGTCCCAGATACACAGGTGTATCAGATGGGCAATTATATGTCTATGTTTGTGTCAGTGGGCACGTTGCTGTCATGTTTTATAACAAAGTTATACATTGTACTTGTAGGATATAAGGAAAGTCAGTGATAGATTGATATGTGTCAAGTTACTGATGCATTTCTATCTCAAGACTGCATCAGTATCAATGTACACATCGGAGGAATATTGTTGCCAAAAAGAATTATTATGCTTTATAAAAATATGTTGTCAACATGATACTCATATATTACCTTGTCAAGTTACACCAATTATGAAATATGTTACAATTAGCTTCCATGCCATGTTCCAGTGTATTTCCTCTCTTAACACAGATCATCCTCGATAATTTCCAGGGTATACATTACGATAAATCTCCACTATACCCTGGATGCATCTACGGCTTGACCTCATGAATTTATTACCTCCCTTGGCTGGCTGTTTATCCAATCGGTGTCTGCTGGGAAGTTGAGCCTAACAATCACAACTCACTTTCGCTTCTTTTATCCAACCGATTAAACTTGGCAACGTAATTGTTGCAGAGGTACTCTGAAAGAGGTAAAAGAGTTCTTGCATATATTTTTTAAGGTTTCCGACCTGTCAAATTGTCAGTATGATTTCCCCCAAAAGTCACACTGTGAACAAACCTTCACAGCTGCGACCGCTATCTTTGTTGACACTGGCGGTCTCGGTTGTAACGACAGCTTAACTGATTGGCTACTGTGAGAATGTGGAGCCAGCAAAGGGAGGTAATAATATTATCGGGCTGAGCCATAGATGCATCCAGGGTACGAGTGGAGATTTATCAGAACATATACCCTGGAGATTATCGAGGATGAACGCAGATAGACAATCCAGATATGTAGGATATAAATGATGATTTTTTACAGGTGTATTTAGCATGGTTGGAACTTGGAATACCCAAGTTTAAATGTCATCACTAAAAAAACAGGTCAGTTCAAGTGAAAGCATCTATTGTGTCCTTGGAAAGCAACAATCTGGCACCCGTGGGGCCCGTACGCAAATTACAAATGTTTTCTGTGTTCCCTATTTTGGCTTAATCAGCACAGTGCCAGAAACTCATCATATTACTTCATCATTGTGATGCAGGTGGAGATGGTTTGAAATC